ATGATAAATATCATAATGCCTGCCATTTGAAATAAATAAAAATAAATGCTTCGTTACCGTGCATTCACTTGATCTAGTTCCGCTGCAACCGCCAACACACTCTTCGTGACAACATTCTTCAACATCTTCTGCCCTGAAACATCGATTACGACCACCACAGACTCTCGTTCGGCATTTTCGTACTGATAAAGCAGAATGAAATGTTATAATGTGTTTAAGCGTAGCATATAAGTAGTATTCAAAGTAGTTTACAAATCTGGCACTGATCGGATCCAGGACCCCAGCAATATGAACTTCCACTTCGTGACATGCAGGAATCGTGGCATTTCCATGTTAGCCACGATCTACCTTTTGAATAGAAATTATCAATCACTGTAAACGTCTCATTGGTTAAAAGTTTTCTAAATTCTTCTTTGACTGTTTCGAATTCCGTTACATTTGTTAGGGCATCATTTTGTTGTAGACCTTTGAGAAAGGAATTAAATGTTATAAAGTTATGGTAAATGAATGCAAGGTATTTGGAAAGTGTTAAGTATTGTTTTTCCAAAAGTGTGTTAAGGTGTGTCATTTTATCAATTCGACAATGATTTTTTAGGAGTAAAGATAGGAAGTAGGATACAATGCAAAAGTATCTCCTTAAATGGTCCCAAAGTGTCAGCAACATCAAGGCGAAAAAAACGTGAAAGCACTCAAACAATGACACACTTAAGCATTTGTGCAACCAGACAGTCATCCATGGATAGACTTTGTCACCCCCCCCCCTCTCCCCCTGCACCACTTACGCGGAACAAAGAAAGCCAGACATGTGTATCCCCTCCTTAAAATTCACTAGCGTCTGTTCTCTCGTCCCGCTAACCACTGGTGTCAACTTTCCTTACCAGACTGTCAGTTCGCGTGATTTGTTTCTTTTCTTATTTACCCACCTTCAATAGCAATTTAAAATTTTGAATTTTCATGCCCATCGGAATTGACGAGATTGAGAAAGCCTCATGTCGGGAAAAAGCAGAAACACATTTTTGGATAGAGGAAGATTCGCTCTGAAATTCTGTGGGCTAAATGTAACTCCGGAAAAAACTGAAAGGAGGCAAAATACGGGACTTGGTGATTTACAACAATAAATGAACTTAATCTATGTGAATAGTAGGCAACATTTTAAATTCTACCTCTAATGATGCTGATTGCAAGGAATAGAAATATTGGCTTAGATTTGGGTATTGAACGTGACAAAATAATTTTCATTGAAGAAGCGATTTGAGATTTATCTTTTCCTACCATTAAATGGTATAACTTAGGTTTCAATTTTCTTTCAGAAATTTATCAGCCAACTCACCCGGTATTGGGATACACAAAGTACCATAAATTATATACAAATATACCCGACTAACCGGTTGCATTTTCAAAGCCATTTACATCATTTTCGAATTTGACCTTGTCATCAATATAGACTTCCGGATTTTCGTCTTCCTCTGGCATCATATGGTCTGTTGTTGAATGGGATACCTTCCCTTCCATAGCTTCCAACGTAGATTTTAAAGAGTCATTCCCTGCTGTCAGGTCAGTAATAATTTCAGAAGTAATCATCAGCTGATCAATAATATCCCTGCGAATTTTAACTGCAGGCGCTGAAATAACGAAATTAGCATTTTTGATGTCGGACTGGCTTATGGAAAGAGACTATGTGAGCCCTAGGTGGAAACAGCGCTTTGTAAACAAAAGTGAAGCGAAATGGAACTGAAGGACTAATCACCACAAAACCATAGTTAACCTATCAGGTGATGAGCTTTATTCACAGGAATTTTTGGTTATAGGGTAGTGGGAAATCCTTCTACTCAGATACTCCAAGTGGTACAAGTGTAACGAAGTGATAATAAGGACTAAAAAAAGAGAAAACTCATTTTTTGTTCTCTCTTGACTTCTCGAATCACTTCACATCGTGGCTTAGTTGACAGTTTCGTTAAGTGATTGGCAATAAGAAATTTTGAAACATCAATATTAGCTTACTATTCAATGCAAATTCACTGTTTTGACAATTAGTGCAAGCAGTCGGTATTATAGACGAAAAATTTCTCTGTGAAGGACTTTCGAATCTAGCTGTACATGCAGAAAGCCAATTAAACATCGCTGCCTTGTCGTTCATGGGGACTAATATTACCGGTTGAAGATCTGGATACTCCAGAATATCATCCCAGTTTACAGAGAACGGAGAGTAGCATAGACCCGGATTGTCGAAAAACCCTACTCCGTACATTAGTATTGCTGAAAAGGAAACAGTTATTAGTGCTTTCGAGTTGCAATAGACCTTTATCATTTTACCAAATCAAATTCAGATAAATTCGTGTAATTCTCTCAATGGACTGAGGTTTCTAAAGATAGGGATCGTATACTTTAGATCCACATTAAATTGAATTATGGCGTCTTATAGGGAATAAACAAACGCTACTTTTTTTAAAATGCACTTAAGTCCAAAATGAATAATTTTCTAATTTTCTAGTTATATAAAAAGGAAGAAGGGTATGTGAGACTTATGTAGCTTGGGCTATGAAACAGTATACCTATTACTTTACCTACTAATGAAGGAAACTCAATTTCAGACATGAATTCCCTATTTGATGTATAAGTTTCAGTAACAAGGAGGGCAAAATTTTGTCCTTTTATGCTAATTGAATCTTCTCCGCGTATCATTCGCAGATTGGGCAGACTAAAGTGCGGTTTAGTTACTCGGTGAATGAAGAGATAGCCGGAAATCTCTTCGATACTGTTGAGAAATTCTATATCCACATCTGCAATACAATAAAATGAATGTATAGAATTCGGGCAATGTTGGTTTTATATATAAAAGTTGACATGCCTGGAAGAATGCTTGAAATCACTAAGTTGCCCAAAATATGAGTGCAATTCCGATTGAAATTGGCCTTCAGCTTTTCCGGATTGTTGAATATAGCATCTTGCCACGTTGAGAACCCCTTACAGACTACAAGACACTTTGGGAAGATCATTTTGACCTACCTCTTTTACCTCGATACTTTAAATCACGAAAATAGGGCGTAAAGGGGTTGACCAACTCATGAGCGATAAGGTCACTTCGATCGATGGTACTAAATTTATTTTCATTTTCTACATCATTAGCAGTAGAAAGACTCAAGAGATAGGAGATTATTAGAGGTGTTAAAGCAAACATTGCAAGCAGACAAATGACTAGAGTGAGAGAGAGAGAGAGGTAGATTGAAGGCCTTGGGTCATAGAGAAATCGGCTCGGACATTCAAGCGCCAATCCACCCTTGGCAGGTGTGAATGAATATGCTAATTTGGAAGATACAAGGCCACACTTTGATTAGTGTACCTGTGGCTATGTTATGCGTCTTAGCGTGTGAGCGATTGAGAAGGAATAAAGGACTTCACACAACATGGTTTTGTGGGAAGACTAGGTGTTTATATTCACATAATCACCCGAGAAACATAAGGGTCAAGCATGTCTTAAGACGTCTATTGTTGATGGCTAGTTCTTGCAAATATCAAGGTCAAGCATAGCTAGAATAGATAATAACACGTTGGACTTTGTTTAGATATAGGAGTCTCATCAAGAAGGGTTGAAAGGTTTTAAAAGCATGCTAATGATTGTTAATGTGGACACTTCAACAGCAGAAACTCAATAAACAAGGCTGTCTTTTCTGCTAAAATGCGCTGTCAATAGCAAGTAAATGCATAGCTAAGGCAATAATTAGGAGGAATTCGATTAAAATTCAAAAATGCCATTGATCATCTCATCAAAAGTTAAGCCTTTCAATGGTTTGTAATGTGCAAACTATTGACTATTTTGCGGAATCAGTGCAAAACATCTCATAGTTACAATGTAAATTTAAGTCATTTAACAATTTCTTTATTAATATAATTACTTACAGTAACATCGTTGACTATAAGTAATTAATATATAGCAATCAATGGAAATTTGTGCAGTACAAAAAATAAAATGACTTATAAGGAACCTTTTTAATATAATTAGATTTGCATAATTTTGTAATTCATGTCTATGGCTTGACTTATTTGACCTTTAGAATGAAATGCATTTTAATGAAGTTGGCCTCAATTAGTGCTAAATACACGATTATGAATTGTGAAAGACCTGATAAAAAGGCGTTGTGAATGCTTGAACATGCATGCTATAACATCACAGAATAGAAAATGTGTACTAACTCTTCCTGTAGAGTCACTTACTGTTGAAAGTATTGAGAGCACCAATACGAAATTGTGCTTTCGAAAAGGACATTAAGATGGCAATTGCTTCCAAAGTATGCATATTATACCATCATTTTCACTTTCCTACCGCTCACGTGGTTTTTTGAGGCCCTTTTAAAGTAAGATCTTTTGTTTTTTTAATAAAATGCTATTTCAAGTGGTGTTTGACTTCACTCGTATTTCAAAAGCTGAATGCTAATTGGATGGAGCGAGGTGTGGTGAATTCAACTGGATACCTTACAAATGAATCACATCAAACTTGTTTTATTTTACGGGGCAAGATACTCGGGCTAAATGCGATCGGAAACAGACCCTACTTTATTCAGAATGCAGCCAGATGAAAGTCATCAGTCAATTTGAGAAAACGACAATTTTTGATTGGATCAACCTCGTATTCAGTCAAGTGTCGTAAATGTATATTACAAATGCTTGATGTGATTCGAGGGCCTAGGGGGATTTGAATCTAATAAGTGCTGAAGGTGAAATACTAAATTTGACGGAGATTTTTGAATGGGTATTTTATAAATGTAGTTCATTTATGGTGTCTACACCAAATATATCTTACTGAGATTTAAACTCATTTCAGTGTATGATAAGTTCTAGTACATGAAAATACAATTTCAACTTATTTGAAGTCCATTAGATTTACAACACACCTAAGTACGGATATCTAAACCTATTTATGCTTTGGTGTGAAAACACAGAAAACTATCTTATACCAACACATGTTCAGAAAACATGTGAAATTTGCATAATAAGTGGTAATAAAAAAGTGGGAATGATTAATTTCCATTGACTAATTAATTCTCACTTTGAAGAGACGAATGGAAGGCGGGGAGGGTGGGGTGAAAGGGCTGGCGAGAGAAGAGGAGTAGAACCAAGTCTCGTTTAAGTAATTACTAACACTGTTAAAATTTTGGAGATGATGTAATTGAAGAAAAGATGAAATGATGCTCCATAGAGTTTGGAGTTTCGAATGACTAGCTTATTGCATATATCCCGAGTTTGAAAAGAGAGGCAATTTCTTACATAACATATTCATCTAGGCTGGAAGTTGCGAGACAGATTTTGTGGTCAAAACATTTAAACGGGCTACTCTGTATGGTTTCCGGCAGTGCCTATTTAAGAAGACGAGCTTATTAACTACTTTCCGTCATTTTGTTTTAAAGATAACCAGTCATTGGCATTAGAACTGATTTCTGATATAAAACTACCTGTTCTACACGGTTTCAATCTTTTAGACCATCCTACTCCAAATGACCAAATTTTCTATATGCCTCTTCATAACAACCTTATGAAATATGTTCGCCTGCCAGTGCATTACCGGTGTCAAAATTTGCCACTTTGGCAGAACATTGAGAAGAGCCAATAAATACAGTCATCAGCATTTAAGCTTTGACGGTCGAACATATTTATTTATGTCAAATGGCAGGCTTTATGATAGTTATCATTAGCCCTTTGGTTGACTTTAGGCTTCACAGAGAGGAGGAGGAACATCAAAGCGAAAAAAGTCGAGAGGGGGGAATAGAAGAGTGTTTTAAAGATGTAAAAGAGACAGACACAAAGGTAGATGAAAGGTGAAGTAAGAACCGTGGAAGAGAAAAGCAAACTGCCGGTTTATAGACTTCTTGTCGTATGAGTAAACACTCCCCAGTATGCACCACGCTGAGGTAAGTCCATCGCTCACACCCCACCCTAAGTCGACTATAAGTATGTTAGGGTAAGAAGATCTTTGCTCATTAAAAATAAATTTATAATGGTGGCGGTAGAAATTAGATTCGAGAAATCAGAACAATTCGGCGTTTGAGAATTATCAGGTAATCTGACTCCGAAGACTTAATCTCTTTTATTATTTTTAGGAAGCACAATCATCTTTCACGTTGTGAGATAGCCTATGTAACCTTAAGATTGCACAATTGAGATGATACCATCTGTTGAAATTATTATCCTTATGCCATTGGATTAAACTCATAATCCGCCTGTTTTGATTCAATTGAAAGTAACATAATGACATTGTAATTCCTTCACTTCTAATACATGAATTTTAGGATCTCATTGTTTGACGAAGTTGAGTTTACCACTAATAAACAAATTAGGCAATCACGTTTTTTGGCAAATACAAAATTAAGATTACTTAATTTTCTAATTTGAATTTTCACTTTACCATTCAATATAAAGTCATCAGTCCATTATCAAAACGTAAAAAGATAATTATTTCTAACATAATTAACAATTTTAGCTTAACAGTCTTGCTTGCGTCTCATGGATTCTTGGGAATCAAGGCACATTGCAAAGAGATTTTTGGAATACACATTTTTATAACGATTTGGAAAAAAAGAATTGGAAGTAATTTTCGTCGTTAGTCCTATTTTTTCTTTAACTTTGTTATGCAAGGCTTCTCAAAGTGATATGTAAAGGGTTACTGAAGATGTTTTTGATCAAAAGTCGATAATATGTACTCCGCGTTTGAAGTGGTATCGAAAGTGCACCCAGCTCTTTTGTAGAAAATATGCCATTGAGCTATTCGACATAAAGTACAACGGGACAGAAGGCATTAAATGACAGTGCAAAGCGAAGTAAAAAAGAACTTCCGAAAGTTTTCGATTTGATCGGTATGACACAAATAAAACTTATCTTCATCTTATTGAATGTCTAACAATTTACACACACACACACACACTCTCTCTCAGAAAAATTGGAAATAAATAATTTGCCTTTTATTTTCATTGTAAAGTTACTTAGATGAAACCTTTTTGATAGAGTTGAAAAGGTTGGGAAGAAGAGTAGTCATTTTGATAAAAAAAATTAACACTTCAAATATTATTTTTTTAATCGCTGATCCGGGGTGCGTGATAGACTTACCTCTACGTGATGCACCCTGGGCAACGTATACTCATACGGCAAAAAGTCTATTAACTGGCGATTGACTTCTGGCTTAAAACTACAATGGCCCACCTGTATGCCATATTCTATCACTTCCCCGGTATTCATCCTACCTTTTCTCTGCCTTCGTGTCTGTCACTTTACATCTGTAAATCGCTTTTCTGTTCCCCACCCCTCGACTTTCTGTTACTTTGATGTTCCTTCCCCCTGTGAAGCCCGAAGTCAGCTAAAGGGCTAATGAAAACTATCAAAACGCCTGCCATTTGAAATAAATATTAATCTCTGATCCCATAACGAATTCCTCAGCTGGTGGGTTTTTTAATAAATAAAAAATAAACAAGCCACTTTCATCGGAGTTGTATTTTCCAATATATTTCCCATAGACTGATAATTACGTGACACAGACTTGTTTTTTCACCTGTTGCC